TGCACACATTGAGAACTTTTCTACCTTGCCATAGGCTGGATGTGGAATCCCCCAGAACGACCATCATTTGCTGAGACCCACCAGGCCTTTGAAACTATGTTCCATGACTCCAGCATATCAGAAGGTGAGTACCCTTGCTTTTTCTACTCTTGGTAAATGTGGTATTTCATGTCCATGGTGCTGACTACAGGATATTGAGGCTTACTCTGCTAGAGTCTTGCTCTTCAGTTGTACAGAATTGTGCTCATATATGTTTCAGTGAGATTAGATGCATTAAAAATATTCCAGTCCAGAGGAAGCTGTAGTAATTTGTTTAGGTATAAAGGGGTAATGAAATAGGTGTTAAGTATAAAATCTAGTCCATAATAGAAGTTTTTTATTTATATTACAGAACTTAAGTATAGTCTTTCAAGGGGAGTTAAAAGAAGGGAAAGAACACACACATGCAATATTGGCCTGTATTTTTTTTTTTACTTTAGAAATTGAGTGACTAAATACCATATCTTTTTGCATACCCCCCCCCCCCCCCCCCCAAATGAGACATGAATCTTGATTTGGGGAAGGCAGAGCAAAGGAAAAGATATTTCTAGAGTTATGGCTGCATAGAGCAGGGACAGAGCCTAATCTTAATATCACTCATCCTCCCTGTGAAAAGCTGAATCTGTAACTGCTGTTGAAGACTGGTGTTTAAGGGCAAGTCTGTGATTTTTGAAGAGAAAAAAATCTGCCAGTGTGTTAACTGACACTCTCAGCTGCCTGAATAGAAATACCTCTGCTGCTGTTGAGCAGTTGGTTTTAAATATGCAGTGGAGCAGGAATTTAAGTGGAGTGCTTCCATTCTGGGGGGGAGAGGGTGGGGCATCAGCTTTGCCATTTAACATATACACCCCAATTTTTGAAGGCTAATTTTGGTGGAAAGGGTGCATGTGGTATGTGAGTAAATATGGTATGGATTTTCATCAGCGCATATTACTGTTTTAACCTCTGGAAGGAAAGTGCTATTACCAGCAACAAATGGATACACCTAACTTGAGCACATAGCTATTAAACATATTTAATCTAAAATTTTGGTACACAGTGGGCATGTCTACACATGCATTAATGCACCTTTGCTACTGCACATTAAATTTAGTACCTCTACGTGGTACTACATAAATGTGCAGTAGCCAGCACTACTGCACAGTAGCAAAGGCATGCACTTTTTTTGTGAAGATTAATGCTCAGTAATTTTTCTGTGCGTTAGTGCTTTAGCATGGGTTTCGCCATGATACGCTAATGCACAGTGAAATTAGTCTACTGTGCATTGTCTCGTGTAGATGTGCCTAGTATCAAACAACAGAGGGCAGGGCTATCTCTATCTCCTAAAAAGCTTTGAACCTTCTTTGAAATGTAAAATAAGTTGATCCATCCCCTTCACTACCACAGAAAACACACCTGGCTAAAATTCCATTAGAGAAGGTCGTTCTGCCCAAACAAACCCCAGCTTGGCAAATTTCCAGGAGTTTTATGGCCTTGCCTAACCCTTGTGTGTACATATGTAATGCTAGGAAAAAATAGAATCTGCCTTTATTGTTAATGGGATGGTGCAGCTGCAAAAGGGGAGTACTCTACTTCAAGCCCAACTTTCCTCTTAAAGGGACATACTACTATAGGGGTGTTTCTATGCAGATGAAAATGGCCATTCTACTAAGAGTCGCGCAGCTTTTCAGCCATAAGCAGCACCTCAACCCCTGGCATGGGATAGAAGCTGCTTTTTTGGTTTTGTTTTGTTTTTTTTTTACAGTTCTCACTATTTTTTGTTGTTGCTGAACTTGGATATAAACCAGTGTCTGCAACCATTAAGAAATACTATATATTTTTGCATCCAAGATGACACCAAATAAAACACACAACTTGTTTTTTGGAAAGCAGAACGTAAAAAAAAAAAGAAAAAAAAAAAAAGATTTTTTTAGGGTCATGGCTGACTGCATAACAGAATAAGTTCTCCTGGGAACATAGGGTCCAGGAATATGGCATCCTATGAGATAAGTCTGGTGAGGCAGCACGAACTTCCTGGTGTAGCAGACTGTCTCCTGGAATGTCATGTTTCCTAGACCGTCTGTTTCCAGGAGGATTTACTCTCTCACACATTTAGGTCCCAGACACTTGGAATGGCAGTAGCAAAACTAAGTACTTTACTGTAAGTACTTTATATAAGTTACTATAAATAAATTGTTGTTTTCACATCACAAGCCTCATTAAGATACTACCAACAACCTCACGTGCTGCTTCAGGCACAAGCTAATAGTGCTCAGCCAATAGCTATGGCTGTGAGAGGGCTAACACAGGACTCCATACCTTCATATTTGAGCCAAACATAAATCACAGCCAGCTTGACAGCTGCATAGCATGCACAGTGTGTCCAGGCATGCCTCTTTTCCAGTGAAGAAAACGGCTTCCTTGACTAAAATGCACACCTCAATTTTGGGAGGCTGATTTTTGGGGGAAAGGCGCATATTGTATGCAAGTAAATATGGTAACTAATCCTCTGCAGCAGGGCTCAGCAACATTTTGCAGCCAGGAGGGACTGTTTTAACAGAGCTTAGCTCTGAATGTGGATCATTTCCAACCCCAGAATTTAGCTCTATGTGGACTGCTTCCAACCCTGCCCATGCCACAGTTGCAGTCACTGCTCCTTCCTTCTTTTTTTCCCTCCCACCAGTACTGCCACCACTACTCTTCTGTGCTGCCAAAGTGCTGCAAAAGCCTTTAGTTCTGTGGCCTGTAGGTTGCCAAACTCTGCTTTATATCCTTGGATCCAGTAGGACAGGGTTTCTCAACCAGCGGGTCCTCTAGGTGGGACTCGGTTGCAGCAGAAAAACCAGAAGTGCCACAGCAGGACTTCTGGTGTCGCTTTTGCACACTTCAGTTGGCTGTTGGGAGCTAACACCCCCCCACCCCCCCCGACCGGTGGGACCAGGATTTTTTGACCTTGTGTAGGTGGGGCATAAGGTACAATTGGACAAGGACCTCCAGTAAAGACTTTCTTTTCCTTTCCTTTGCTAATCTCTGATCCCACTGTTCTCCTGACGCTCTGTTATTATCTCCTCTCCCCCACCCCCTCTTAGAGGTGGCAGAAGAGCTTGGAAGAACAGCCTCATCATCATCTATAGTTCCTTATTTGCCCCGGTTACCCATGCTTCCCTCCAAGACTAGAACTTTGAAGAAACAGACAGAGAACAAGGAGAATATTGAAGGAACACAGGAAGCTGTGGAGCATTCGGCTTCCAGCTCAGCACCAGGTATGGGCAGTAAGAGTCACTGTGGCCATACATTATAGGGCAGGTTTTCATCCGGTATAAGTTATTAGTAGCTCTTTATTGACATTGCCAGTACTGTGACTACTTATATCAACTGAACATGTGCACCTGTTCATCTCAGCAGGATGGTTTTTAGGCTCAACCACACTCCAGCCAGCCCTCATAAAGTGGTATTACTCAATGAACCCCATGAACATGTTGCACATATAAGTTAAGGTAGAACAAGAAAAAGTAATGCACCTGAGAATAGGCACGCAGACAGTGAGCCTTATCTGTGTCTTGCTTTTTTTGGAGTAGTGTTGGGGAGGGTTCAGGATAAGGAAACGCTTCACTTCTTGGGGAAGCTGAGAGGGTATGGTATACAGCCTGGCACTTTTTCTTGATGTGTGAAATAGGGCATGTTGGTTGGCAGTGTGTGCTCTGATTATTGTTTATGAAACTGAGGGATTTCTAAGATCAACAAGAACAGGGCTTTGAACAGATGCTGTGCAGGATTCCCTGCACTGCTCTCAGTTCATTGAACTGTTCAGCTGAATGAACAACCATTCATTTCAGGCTGTGTACAGCAGTTTAAGGGTTAGAACATATTAATAGATCCTACCACTCCAGCTTCACCAGCCTGATCTCTTACTGTGTAAACTGCATTTTTTTTGGTTTGATAACTTTCATCGCCATCTTGAACATTAACATTTTTATTGTTTTTTTTTTAATTGATTTAGAACTTCATAAGCAAAACTGACAAACAGTAAAATAAGAGATTATTTAATTTATAGTTTAAAGCACAAGACCTATAAGCAGGGAAGAAAAGGGCAGGGAAAAAAAAAAAATAGAAACTAGAGGTGAACAACAGATCCTTGGTGTCGTATGAACATTTCCTTATGTTGAGGTTTTTTGTGCGCGTGAAATTTAAAATTTCAAAGGACACTGCATCTGCCCAGAAATACGCTGTCTTTCAAACCCAGGCCTGCAGATTCAGGCAGGTTTAGGAGCACAGTACTGGAAAGGGCCTAGTCTATCATGTCCAATTGTTTGCATCAACAGGCCAGTAGCCACGCATCCAACCACAGAACATTTTATGAAAACAAAAGCTTGGACACCCTACTACAGGGGTGTCCAACTTCAGTACAGGTGGCAACCATGTGGCCCCTGGGACTTCCCTTTCCCCTTGCCACCCTTCAGGTTCTCCTTTCTAGCCCCAACTGCATAGATTGCACAGGTGGCACACGGTTCCCTTCCCCCTCTTGCTGCACTGGCAATACAGTCCCCTCTTAGGCCTTTTCCTCACCATGCAGCAGTGGGAGAGGCAGCTGCAGGGGCCCGTGGGCCCGTCAGTTTGACAGTCTTGTTTTACATTATGCCTCAGGCAAAAAGCAAGGGGAGACGAGGCCTGCCACTGCTGTGGCAGATGAGTTATTGATTCATTTGCTCAGGTAATTCTAGGAAGAAGACCATGCCCCATGTTATAGAGGAAGGCAAAAAAACCTGCAGTTCTTATGAGTCTGTGTGGAAAAATTCCTTCCTAACTGCATATCTGGTGACTCATTTGACCCCAAGCAGGAGGGAAAGCTGGAGTTTTTAATCAGCTCTTGGTTCCCATTTGTTTCCATTCTCCAGGGTTTATCAGAAGTGCACAACCAACAAGTGGGTCTCCAGCCCTGCCTCGCAAGCAGAGGGACAAGTCACCCAGCAGCCTCTTGGAAGATGCCAAAGAGACCACCTTTACGAGGGACAGGAAAGGTGGCTTTTTCAGCTCTTTCATGAAGAAGAGGAATGCCCCCACACCTCCAAAGCGCAGCAGTTCCTTCCGCGAGATGGAAAATCAGCCCCACAAGAAATATGAGCTAACGGGTAATTTTTCATCTGTTGCTTCCTTGCAGCATGTTGATGGGTTCTCTTTTCCTCCCACCCAGCAAGATTCAAACCTGGCCCCACCCAAGTGCTATGGTGGAGGCTTTGCACAGAGGAACTTCTGCAGTGATGATGGTGGTACTGGCAGTGGTGGGGGTGCAAGCGCTGGTGGCGGGTGGTCAGGCATCACAGGTTTCTTTACACCACGCTTGATTAAAAAAACACTGGGTTTACGAGCAGGGAAACCCACTGGCAATGAAGAAGCTTCAAAGCCTTTTCCAAGGTCAAACTCTACATCTTCCATGTCTTCAGGGCTTCCAGAGCAGGATAGAATGGCAATGACCCTTCCCAGAAATTCCCAGAGGTCAAAAATACAACTGGAAAGGACAGTTTCCACGTCCTCTCAGCCAGATGAGAGCACAGGTAGGTCCAATGACCTGCTTCCTAAAAGGTTTGAAGAAGGCCCTGCTGTGACCAGAGAGAGACCAAAAGCCAAATTCTTGCCAAGAGGTGCCACAGCTCTTCCTTTTAGACCCCCTATGGGGGAGTCAGCTGCCACAGAGAAGGATGGTCCAGTAGTAACAGCAGCCCCTAAAAACAAAGAAAAAAATAGTGGTACAAGGCAAGGGACAGTAGAGGATGGAGAGAGACCAGGATGGTCCTCTCCAGCAAAGGCTGCAGCAATACTTCCAACCACTCATAACCACAAAGTGCCAGTCCTAATCTCACCCACTCTAAAACATACTCCAGCAGACGTGCAGCTCATTGGCACAGACTCTCAGGGTAATAAATTTAAGCTCTTATCTGAGCATCAGGTTACATCTTCCGGCGACAGGGACCGGCCCAGACGGGTAAAACCAAAGTGTGCCCCACCTCCTCCACCAGTTATGAGGCTCCTACAGCAGCCACCCACTGGCTCAGACACTGCAGAAGAGCAGAATAATACCACAGGAGCTCAGCATGGACTGGAAATGAGCGAAGGTGGTAAAAAGGCAGCGGTGGTACCTGTTGGTGGAAAAACTGGGAGGCCCGTTTTGCCTCCACCTCAAGTGCCTCTGTCATCGTCTTCCACCTCCCCAGCAAAAATGGCCAATGGCACGGCGGGTGCCAAAGTGGCACTAAGAAAGACCAAACAAGCAGCTGAGAAAATCTCTGCGGACAAAATTAGCAAGGAGGCACTGCTGGAGTGTGCAGATCTCCTCTCTAGTGCCATCACCGAGCCAACGCCAAACAGCCAGCTGGTGGATACTGGGCACCAGTTGTTGGATTACTGCTCAGGCTATGTCGACTGTATCCCGCAAACGCGCAACAAATTTGCTTTCCGGGAAGCCGTGAGCAAACTGGAACTCAGCTTGCAGGAACTGCAGGTGTCCTCCACAGCTGCTAGTGTGCCCGGGGCCAACCCGGTCCTTAATAACTTACTGTCATGTGTCCAAGAAATCAGTGATGTGGTTCAAAGGTAGCTACTGTCAATCTTAGTAGAAGAAAATATACATGGAGGGGAAACTCTTTTTCTGTACTGATGATTTCAGAAGGAAAGACTGATACTTGAGTGAGTTTGTGAAGTACCTCAGATTACTGAGTTCTCCTCTCGTTTACAGGTTCATCTCAAATATGGGGAGGGAGGGAGGAAGGCGATGCTGGAGGGAGGGAGAAGTGGGGTAGATTGAAGCTGAAGGGGCAGAATGTTTAAAAATTGCCTCACCAGAAAAATCTGATCTGCTTGTGTCTACAAGGGAGAGCCGTTCCTTACTCTTTCCAATGAGAGGAAGGAGAAGAGATGGTGGGTTCTCGTTTCGGTGAGGGTGGTTTCCCTTCCGATATCCAGAGTACCTGTGTGGTTGCAGGGCCACTTGGATGTACAGATCCTCCCCTTTCTGCACTAATGCTTGCTTTGGCCTCCTGAGATCACAAGGGAAAGGCACCGGGACTCTGTGGGCGCTCATGCTGAGAGTTCTGAAGGGGGAGATTCCGTGCGATTGTGGAGGAGGAGGTCTAACGCACTGATGGTATTCAGAGCTGCTGGAAGTGGATGCACTAGCCCAGATGGCGTACTTCCACAGTGCTGTGGCTGCTGTAATAAGAACTACAAAATGAGTTAATATATGAAATGAAATGAACCCCTTTCCCTGCCCACGCCATGACATCACACATTCATATTTTCATTAAATTTGAAGCTGAAGGGGTACTGGGCAGACTTGCCACTGGATTATGCCCCTACCCCACCATACATCCTTCACTTGGGTTGGTTGGCTACTCCTGCTTCAGGTAGCCTAGCATGGATGTTACCTACTGGTCACTTGCCAGTAGTTTGAGATTCATGCACATTTGCCAATGTCTTCTGTAGATTGTTGTAACTTTGGTACAATGTTGGCTCCCTCTCCTCTTTTTGGTCACTTTAAGATCCATACTTGGCAAGGCACTGCCTCCTGTCAGTGCAGTTTCTCACTGTTCTCTACATTCCTTTTTAGTATTAAAAGTGCCGACACTAATACAGTCCTCTTAGGAACCAGAAAATACAACTTTACTGTCCCACTGTCTTCCTTCTGCTGCAGGCTTTGCTAACGGTCATCTAAGTATCTGTCCCTTGATCTCACATAACATTAACTGTTGGTGGCTTTTTGGAAGGTGCCCACCTGTTTTGACTTGCAGGACTCTACCTCTTCAGGGCATCAGGCTGCACAGATATGAAAGGAGTGCAAGGTGGTGGTGGTGATGCTGGAGCATAGAAAGCAGATAGCATTTACTGATGTAGAGCATACATGGATCTTCCTTTTGCCTCCAGCGGGAATGTCTATATGTTAGTATATCAATATACTCCTCTGTATCTGAGGCTTGAAGAAAACCAGCATGGCTCAGATATGTAGCATCATTGAGGATTTTGCGCTCTCTTGCATATTGACAATCCACAGAATTGGAATCAGAATTGGAAACAGTTTTCCTTGCTGTTTGCTGCTGGCATGTAGGGAAGAGTTGTACTACCTTGCATGGTTTCAGGAGAGGGAAGCAGTAGGCATGGTGCGTGTTTCCAAGTACATGCTCACTAATGAATGTTTTTGCTTATGTTCCATTCTTTGCTGGAGAGCTGGTGAGGTTGTTTCAAGGTCTGACTTGCTCTGCACCTTAAATCTTATATTTTAGCTAAAATCTTAATTTTTTTAATGTTATCAAACTGCTTTTAAGTAAAGTCATTGTTGGTCTGGGGGTGAAGTGTGAAGTTGAGGCCTGGCAGTGGGTCAGTAAGAGTAAAAATCTCAAGTAAGAGGTTCTTGAGAATTTGTCCTGTCCTTTTGAACCTTGAGCCATTTTCGATTCACTGTCACCCTTACACTACAACTGCCTTAGTGGTAACCCAGAAACTGCCCAAACCACTCTTCCATTGGGTCAGTATAACATTGGCAAGTGGCTCACCCCCAGGCTACCCTACCCTGTTGTCCTACTTTGAGACCTGTGATTCAAAGGAGGAGTGTCAGCTGTGCTTAGAGGGTTGCTTTATGATAAATCAAGTTTCATTGCTACATGTGAGCAAGTGTAGCAGTGGAGTAATGTGCGTGTATTTCTGAATATAATGGACCAGTTGAGCTTTGTGGTCTGTGATAAATGAAATTCAAAAAAAGGCCAAGTAGCATCAGTGATGGGAAAATCAAAGTTGGTAGTCAGTTTTGGTCTTTTCAAGCTGGTAGTGTTGAAATGGGGACAATGGAAGTGCAGCATGTTTAGTCTCTGTCTGCCTGGCACTTGGACCACATGACAGGATCTGATGCCTGTTTCTGCAATAGGTTGGCTGTTCAACTGCTTCCTTCCAATGCAGACCCCTGTGCTTCAAGCCTTAGCACCAAGTGAGGGCAGTTTAGGGGGTGCTGCCTCAGCATTCCTTGCACATGGTAGTTTGTGCTCAGCCAGAGCACAGAGTACCAAGAGCAGGTGTCGGATTTTGCCACTGTTATCTCCTGAACCTTTCAACGATTTTTCTATTTTGTCTTTTTGGATGTTTATACATGTGCTGCAGGGGGTAAAGGGATGCACCTTAAAGCCCCCTGATCGTCACGTGCATCAGTGTCCCCATGCTGAAAAATGGTGGTGGGGGGTGCTTTAGTTAAAACACCCCGCCACCATTTTTAGCACAGGGACACTGATGCACGCAGTGCTGGAGTCTGGAGCATGGCAATTACCACACTCCAGCAAACTTGATTAATCAAATCTGCCCCGACATGCTGTAATTATAGCACGTCAGAGCAGCCTCAGTGTACCTGTGTAGGCGCCCTTTGTGTCTCTTTCAGTTATCTTGGTCATAACTGTGCATTACCCTAAACAAATCTGCTGTAAAAAGGATGACCTGTGAAAGGGTCCCTCTGTATTGCTTTGTCCTATCTTTTTCATCCTTAAAAGTATAGTTTTTAACTGTAGAAATTCAGGCTTTTTCTGACCTGGAGAGCTGTCATTGCAGGAGATGGACCGAAACAGGGCAATTTTGAGGGAGAAGGCCCTTATCACCAAGTTTTGAAAACTACTTTCTTTTTTTCTTGGTAACATTTTCTATCAAGTGTGCAGATGCTGGAGCTTAACAAATGTCCTTCCAGATTCCAGCTTGTCTCAAAGTCCTGCGGTAAAAACAGGGAAGGACAGACTCAGACATTCCAGGCAGTTCTGATGCGCAACTCCCCTGTCAGTCCATCCTTATCCACCATGAATATTTTTTTAAAACAAGTGTTATTTCTAGCTCCTCCCTCACACCACACGCCCCGTTTCTGCCACACAGGTCAAACTCCAGGGTGGGTGCACAGAGCAATTCTAATCCACTCTAGACAGTAGCTCAGGGCCTCAGATTGCAGTCTTGCTGATAAATCCATGGCCTTTTACATCCCTATTGCATGTGCTGCAATAGATCAAGTACGCAAAGATTGGGGGGTGTGGAGAAGATGCAGCAATGGAGTTCATGGGCTTCTTAATTTTACACTCATATTTTCCTGCAGGTCTTGATGTCTTATGCTTCCTTTTTTAATTAAGGGGGTGGGGAGGGAAGGGGAGCTGGTCCATTCAACCTGTATCATGTGTCTGCATTTTTGTACTTGCCACTATTGGATGAATCAGTTAAGCTATTGTTGATTTTTGAGGCTCCAACTGGTCTGTTTTATAGACAGGGAAGCTGCTGTGAGGGGTGCAGAATTGCTGCCACTTATGTCTACTGTGGTGCAGTGCCATGCTGTGTAGAGAAGCTTGTGCTAGCTTTGAACAAGTTGGTGTGTACATAGCACAGTGCAGATACTTGGTTGGCTCCTGGAGCCAGGGTACATCAGTAGCTACATCAGTCTGGTCTTAGCCTGGCCAGTGGGTCCAGGCAGGGTGCAGTACTGATGCTGCTTCTGGAGCCAGCTGGGGTAGCTCTGTGGTATTGTGTTGTGCTTTGTAGACATGCCTTTGGAGCTGTTACTCTGCTGCTTGGATTGCCCATTGTCCCCCTGCTGCAAGAGAGCGCCCATGGTGGGGAGGAGTGAAATCTGTTTGCAGCAATAGGGGTCAGTTCCTCCTGTTCTCTGTCTCGGAGGCCACCTAGAAATGTTACAAACCCTCCCCTTTTGTTTAGGTTGACTTTCACTTGGCCTTTAGGGCTCCTAGCTGCATTGACCCCTCTGCTTTCTTCATTGCACAGGATGAGTACAGTACCATATTACAAATGTAATGGGGAGGGAGGAACCTGCTGGCCTTAATGAAAGGCACAGTCACTAAACTGAAGTGGTATTTGTGGGCAAGGAAGGGAGATAGCCTGTGCATTGAGGCTGTTTGCAGTCTGGCTTCTTGCTCAGCTCACTCTGGCATCAGCCTGCCAGTAAGTGTGAATCAGACAGGGTCCTGGTAACATGGCCCAAGCAGCTTCTTGCAACAAGCACGTGAACTTCAGCACTTTCTCTTCACCTCACCCCTGCACAGTGGGGGGGATACCCCTCAGGGGCAGCTTCCCTAGTCCTCTCTGTAGCAATGAGCACCTGGGATGTTTTTGCACCAGTGTCTGTTAGCAATTTTGAATCGTTGCACTCCACTCTGTGTGTCCTTAAATCAAAGCCATCTCCCCGTTGAATAACACATTGTTAGTAGCGGGGTTTGGATGTGGGGGCAAGGGAAAATAAAGCTGGGTTAAGAACAGAGTCCTTGGAATATCATCAAATTTGGCAGTTGCAGGCCAAAGCCGAATGTGGGGAGGGGGAGGGCACAGCCTCTGGACTACAGGCTAGAGAGTTCCTCAATGTTCTGGTCAGGTTGATAGGATGCCTCCCCAAATCACCTGGGACTTACTGTAGTAAAATCCTGATGACAATGAGGACCCACTAGCAAAGTTTCCGTGTATTCTTCTGTGGCTTCATAAAGCACATCCCGTTGGGTCACTGCGGGTGGCAGAAGCTGAAGCCCAGCGTCAGGTCTTTGCACAGATACCTTACAGGTGCCTGCCCATCTTTTGCCTGCTGCAAAGCAACACAGCACTGTGACCCAAGTCACTGCTTTGTTTTCACAGCATCATTGTTAGGTCAGTGCTCACTCATGTGGCAAGTAAGAGATTGCTGCTTCCCAAACAGGCTACGTAGGAACTGAGGTTTGAGTAAAGGAGTGCAGGTTTTGCCTGTTGCCAGTCACCTGGCTTTGTTTGACCTTTCACTGAAGCCTGAGTAAGGGCCTCAGGATTTGAACCTGGATGAGGGGCAGAGGTCTTGGCCTGCCATTTGTGTTGGTCATTTAGAGCATTCTCCCAAAATGAGGACAAAGCATCACTGAGGAATCTCCCTGCTCCAGGGAGCTGCTCAGTTTCTCTAGGGCTTTGGAAACTGTGACAAGCATTAGTGAGTCAGATAACTTTTTCTAAAAGTGCAAGTCCCAGACTGGGTGTTGCTGTTTGTTTTGTTTTAAGATCTGCAATCTACTGCTTCTAGCACCAGTCACAGATAGCCAGGGGATTAATAGATGCCCAAGGGGCATGAGTAGAGCATGCTGAGAAGCCCTCCCCCTCATTCAGCACAGGCAGCACACTTTTCCCAGTACCTTTTGCAGCTGGGTTTTGCATGGATAGGCATGGAACTGAAATCTGTACTGGAGATCAGGACCTTTACCGTTTCTTATTGGTAGCAAATTGCAGATTATGGAACACCTGATTTATTTCTATCTACAAAACTACAAATGGCTATACCAAAGGGTCACCCTTCCCAAGTATGTGTGGGGGTGTGTGTGTGTGTGTGTTGTGCACAGGGGGTTAAGAATCTGATCAGCTCAGCACAGTTTGTAACGATACTGAATTAAACTGAAAACACACTAATCACCAATCACTCTACCAGTGTTGTCAGTTTTTTTGTTTTTATTGTTACTGTAATATATTTTTGGTTGTTTTTCTAATTTAATTCTCTCACTCTATTGTCTGACTGTGAACTGCAAACAGTGTTAAACTTGATGTAAATAAGGCTCTTGGAGGGGCCTCTGCCTGTTGTTTCACAAGGTTTTGCCAATTTGCATTTTGTTTTAAATAAAGGTTGCAATATTTTATTGGCAAATGAACTCAAATGTATGCTGCTTTTGTTGGAGTATTTAAATGTTAGCTCGCAACCAAGGAAGTTCTGTGCATTTGGCTTAAAACTTGCAAGGATTGTTTTCTTTTATGTATTTGTATGCCAGCTCCACTGAAAAAGATTGTCCAGTTGGCACTCAGGATAGCAGATGCTTCTAGGCACAAAGAGCAAAATGATATTCCTCAGTGCTACAGCAGTCCAGGTACAGGGATTGATATAATTGGTTTCTCAGCTGTGCTGAAATTATGCAGTTCTCAACTAAAATAATTCTGCTCTGAGCAACTCCTAGATCCAGAATGGTTTTGAGAATTGTTTCCAGCCACACCATTTATGCTTTTCAAATGGAGTAATTAAATCAGAATAATCTACTACTTTCCCTCCAGTTTCACTTAAAACAGCACTAACCACCACAGAGATGAAAGCCAGCTTGTTAGTTTTCTGCTTTTTTTTTTTTTTTTTTCTTTCTCTCTTCAGGTCTCAGTGATCAAGATGAGGCTTTTACCTGCAGTCATTCTTTCTGAAGGTACAAGTAATACCTGTTGGTTTTTTTTACAGCAGGTCAGGAGGAATGAGAATGAGTTTGTCTTATTTTTCCCTAGTCTTCTGGTGAAGTGAGCAGGTAATGCTGAGGTAGAGTACCTTATGGAGCAGTGTGCCTTGTCACCTTTCTGTTCCTCAGACTGAAGTGGTGGGAATGAGTGAGTAACTATCTTCTTTTTAGTACATTTCAGCCCTTTGTTTAGTGAGGTGTAGAAGGGCAGGTTTGCTCTGGGCACTAATGCTGTTTTGACTCTGGCATAAACAAGCCAACTGGATTTCAGCATGGTTTCCCTTGACTGCAGCAAAGAAGGGAAATGAGATAGCAGAAAGAAAAAACAAATAGTAAGCAATGAGCTGGCCTAGTTACCTGCTCAGAACTAAAAGGGTATGTGGAGCCCTACCCGTAAGTGGCCTAGTACTGCCACCTGCCATGTCAAAGTCCACTATAGCTTGATGTTAGATGTACCTGCTCAATCTGAAGCTGGAATACTTGGCAGTTGTGAGGTTCAAAATGTAATAGATCAAAGGTCCACACACATGCAAGACCCAGGGAGCTGAACCCTGTCCTCAGCATGTGCTGGCTTACCTCATCTTCCCTAAAGTGGCTGTGTTGGAAGGGAGTTTTGACCCACTGGCCACAGAGCAAGTGATTATTCACATCATCCCACTCTTCCTCTCCCCACCCACCAGTGCTGTTGACATTTTGGGCCTTCTGGAACATGCTTTTTATCATTTGGCTGATAACCCAGACAGCAAACAGCCTTGCTCTGTAGTAACACTGACTGGCCAAAAGCCAAAGTGTGTAGCACGTAGTAAAAATCCTTGCCTATGAAAAACAGTTAAACCATGGTGTGCTGCTTTAGGAACTGTCCTTGCCCTATGTGTGCTGCAGAGAGAGGATATCTGCTACCTTGTACTCCAGCCAGCTATCAAAAACAAGGTCCCTAAGTCAGCAGCACTAACAGTACACTTGCAGCAACAGCTAATCACAAGAAAGCTCACCCTGATTGCCCTTAAGATGCAATTTGAGTCCTGGAAAAGTTGCCTGAATGGGATGATGCTAACCATGTAAATGAGTACTTTTGTCTCCAGGGCAGAGGTTTAGGTACCCATTCTGGGTTTAAAACCACTAGTGACATTGTATCACTAATATACTTTCTACCAGTAAAGAGAACAGCTTTTAAGGGAAAGAATGTTTAAAAACACTTTTAAAAACAGCTTTTAATCTTAAATTGCCCCAAACAACTAGTGCACCTTGAACTTGTGCCACACATCAAAGTCTTCTCAAAGTCTTCTATGGGAGTGATCCCACACCCACACCCCTCAGCTCACACTTGTAACTTCCCCCATACTTTGGGGTTTTATCTTCTGTGCAGGCAAGGGGTAGTCTTTATTAAGGCTTAGAAAGTTGCTGGCAGATCAATTACTCTTGAAGACTGAATCCCTGAATGACAGAGTCCTTCCTGACTGGCTGTGCAAAGGTTGAGTAGCATTTCATTTGACTTAACTCTTGTAAATGACTTGCAGGGGAGGGGCTGAAGGAAAAGCACTACAAGTAACATCTACCAGACATCCCCAGGACAGTAATTAGGATGCCCAGAACCACAGCAAACCAAAGCTCTTATACAGCCTACTCTGCTGATATGAAAGAAAACCAACCAAACATTTCCATTAGCAGAAAATGATCGTCCAGCACTTGGAGTTGCCTGCTACACGATGAGGCTTCCAGAAGGCCGGGCTGCCCATGCATCCTGCTCATTCTGCCAAGTCAAGGCTGTAGGAGTGTCATACAACTGCAAATCCTGAGCTGTGCCTAAAAGTGGAAGGCTCCAGCTTCTCCTGCTACATTGACCCCTGCAGTAAGAACTTCAAGTTCCCATTACTGCACAAGTGGTGAATCTGTATCCAGCTTGTGCAAGCGAGGCAGCCCCCAGCTCATGTTCAGGGGAGAATATAGTTGATGCGCTGGGACACTGATTTACAGCCCTGGGCAGAGAAAAGCCTCTTGTCTTTAGGCACAAATACCATCATTCTGGCCACCTCATCGAGTGCTGTCTCTGTGTATGGAAGTCCCTGGGCCACGAAAGCATCTCGAGCACACAGCTTCACATGATGAAACTCCAGGGGCAAGAATGGCACAAAGAAGTCAATGAGGTTCTCTTCAAGAAGGTGACTATGGGCAAAGGCAGTTCCTGCAATGAAAGACAAACCAACAAGGACACTTAGTCAGATGCTATGGAAGGATGTGCAGAGAGAAGGTTCTCAAGAAGAGTGATTTGCTAAGTGAGCTCTGGCTCTCAAAAGCTTATGCATTTCTGATTTAGTCTATAAGATGCCTATTGACCCTGCATTTAGCAGTGTATTATGGAGCTGTTTGTGCTGCCTGAGATGGAAGATGCAAATAATAATGGAACTTTACTAACCAGTTGGCTATTAAGGACATAGTTCAGACCTCCTACAGTATGCTGTTTTTGTAGTTAGTTCCATTTTGCTGGAATTTACTTATAGGCATCCCTTGGTAAATGAAAGGTCCTTCTGTACTGAAGGAAGGAGTCTTGGATGCAACTCAGATATTCAGCTGGGAAAGGGAATGAGGCGCATTTCACAGCTTGCCACTTCCCAGTGGGAGGAAATTTGGCCAGAATTTACAGTTTCTGCAGCTGATACATGGAACCTGCTTTCATCACTAGGGACAAGTTGTGCTTGCCTCAAAGATAGTTTCAGGACATTATCACTACTAGGTTGTTTTTCATGAGTAAGTGAGGGAAAGTCAAAAGGGAAGATGTGGTAAGCATACTCAGCCCTAATTTAGGTGCCTGGCTTCCCTTTCAGCGCAGATGTAGAGGCACCTAGGAACAGGATTTACAAGAGCCAGGATCTGCTTAAGCTCACCAGCAGGAAATGCTGGGGAGAAGAGATGGGAAATGTGCCCTAAGTCTGCCTCCCCAATCTGGGCCCACAAGTGAGAAGGGCATCAGCACACACTGAATGGTAGCAAGAAAAATTGAGCAGCTCAAATAGGACTCCATGGTTATGGACATGTCTGACTACAGCAGCAGGTGCCTACAGGGGCATTAGGGTGCTTGCAGCCCACCTCCCAACAACCCTGAGTCTAGCGCTGAATGGCTGTAGATAGGGAGAACCCTGACCCCCAAAACAGTGTGGAGTAAGTTAGGTTGCTGTGCTGCAAGTGCCCTCAGTGCTGTCTCCAGCTCCGACCAACACAGAGACGTTCCGATGGCAGAACTCTAAAATGGCTCCACAGCAACTGGTGCAGTTACCTGGGGACTCCTTCAGCTCCATCCGCAGGGGCTGTTCTAAGTAGTCCATGGTGATTTCTTCCCTGGCCCGTCCAGCTCGCCAAAAATCCAAAGCCACTTCATTGATGGTGTTGCCACCACTATTACTGGGAAGGGAAGGAACAGTTTTAACTCCTATTTCCCACAGCAGTGGGGGCCAGCCTTTCTGGCAGGTGTGCCACAAGTTAGCCCAGCACTCATCCTCTTCTCCTGCCCCATCTGCTGCTCTGCTTTCTGCTTCTTGTCCTGTGCTCTCTGCCCTATCTGCCGCATGTCGCATCCCACGCACAGCAGCTTCCCATGCCAGTTCTAGCACACATGCTGCAACTTGGCCACCCTCACATCCCACAGAATCACACTTTCTCCAGTACTAGTCAACCAGCATATGCAGCCTTCTGCCCTAGGCCCATGTCTCGGGGTGCTCTGCCTGTTCTGTGGAAAAGCTAGTGCTCAAGTCTAAGGGACATATTGAGGGACCTGTGTTCTTCCTCCAAGAAAACCAGGCTCCTTTTCTACTGGATTCCCAGGTCTGATTTAAGGGGAGTCCCCTCCTCCCAGACAGCTGCACACAATGGAGAGCGCGCAGAACTGGGTAGCCTCCTCCAGGGGAAGATGGAGAAGACTGGTGGATACATACATGGTTCTCCCTACCCATCTCAAGAGGCTCTGGGAACTCTGGAAATGGTGGTGTGGGGAGTAGATGTTCACTCCCTCATAGCTGAAGCTCTAGAAGGCTCTGCTATTTTCCCCTATGAGCTCCAATGCCTATTTTCACTCTCCCAACTCCTCTGCTAATGGTTAGTTTGCTTTCTGTCCTGAGAGCTGCTTCTCCCACCTTTCTCCCTGCAACTGGCCAGGACAGAAGCCTTTTAGCACTGGAGATATATTATTCTCCGCTTTGGGACTTGAGCCATAGAATGGTTTGGTGTTGAGCTTGGCAGGTGAGTAACAGCCAAGTCAAGCAACATTCCTGTAAGAGGCCTGCCAGACCTGGGCCATCAACCTGGATGTTAACCTGTCCCTTCATGTGGCTTCTGATAGTCACCTGAGAAATAAGAAGATGGACCTCCCGCAGTCCACCTGGCCGATGCTGTCATAGTGATCCACGTACGGTTTGATGGTATCCAGCAGGTCTGTGTGAAGCTTCTCTGCCTCATCAAAGATAAACAGGGCCTGCTCACAGAGCTTCACCGTCTCACTGATTTGCTTCTTCAGCTGAACCTGCAAATCAGCACAAAAGCCACGTGAGCTGCCAGGCAGAAGTGATAGCTAGGACTTGGGTGGGGAGTAGAGTCCTGCATGAAGGGCAAGTAATGTTCACTTCCAGCACCACCCCACCATGGGTGAGGGTGTACCTGTCAAGCATCCTGCTTTCAGGCAGCCTCTCATGCTCCCATCCCTAAAGGAGGTGTAACAAGTGGAGCACGAGTCCTGGGCAAACCCTGCAGGAGATCTGGGGGAGGAGGAAAGAGGTGGATGGGTGGGTGTTTGTTCCAAGAGCAGAGGAGAGTTCAGGGAGGGGGATGGTGCACAGCAGCCTTACCCAAGCCAGGGACTCCTCAATGGTCCCCAGCTGAGCTGCTGCCACCCATGTATACTCTGGTTGTCCTGGCTCTTAAAGCTGCAGCAGCCGCCAGGGACTGCTGGAGTTCCCAGGATGGGTAAGTCGTGGGCTTGCTCTTGCTGCTGGAGTACAGGCTCTTCTGGGGGTGTGGGGGGGGGGGTGTGGAGGCAAATTCTAGCCCCATTCCTAACTGGATGCCTGGGGCAGGTGCCTCTCGCTCCCCTCACTACACTTCTGATCCCTAATCTGAATACAGCAGCTGTGAGCTTGCCACTAGCCAGCATACACCAGCTTGTGGGGAGCAGCATTGGGTTCTCCCTCATCCAGTGCTCCTGCCCTTCTCCTTTGCCACAAGCTGTGCCAAGTTTGGGACTGAACAAGCAGTAAGGGATTCCCCTGCTGTGCCCGCACAGCAGATTTGCCCAGCTCTCACCTTGTAGGAGTCCAAGTACCCAGGATGTGGGAAGTGAAAAAGTGAGATAAAGACTTTAACACACTCGCTCTTCAGCCCATCTCGGTACAGGTGATCAGCAATCATCCGCGCCACAAAATTCTTCCCGGTGCCTGACCAGCCGTGGAACGACAGGGCCAGCGCCTTCTCTGGCTGAGGGCGCTGCAGTAACCCTCTCACTGCTCTCAGAATGACCTTCCTTGCCAGGTGCTGCCCATGCAGCCTCCTGTTCAGGTCGGACTCTAACCCTGGAGAATGAGAGCACGCGGCATTAGCACCAAGCTCCCTGTAAGCAGTCTGGCAGGAACAAGCACAGAGGCTGCTTTGCAGCATTTTTGCCAAGAGCTGAGCCTTTCTACCTTGCATTGCTGGAGGAAAGGCATCATTGAGGGGACTCTGCGCAGCAGTATTAATGTAGGGCCAGACTGGAAGACAGCACATCTAACCATCTGATCACAGGGCTGGAGATCATGACTTTGAAGCTCCATTCCTAGGTTTGCCACTGACCAGGGCAAGTCACTTAACTTCTCCCTGACTCAGTTTTCAACTCTGGAAAATGAGGATGATACTTAATGCCTGCAAAAGAGCACTGAACTCTTCAGGTGCAGTTGTTTGGCCTGGATTATCAGGCCACTCCTGGCTGGAGGCACTTTTACATGGGCTTCCTCAGTATTTGCCTTTAGGACTGGGATTTGGAGAAGGGGAATGGCTTAGCAGCACTCATGGGACAGGGTTGCCTCTCCCTTCCATACAAAGGGGTGACTGGGGAGCAATGGCAGCATCTTAGGACCTCCAGAAAGTCCTTGGCCCTGGACCCTTCAGGTTTTGCAGTAAGATAAGGGACAGTGCATCCCACTTCCACAAGGCAGAGAACATTCTGAATGGGACCAGCCATGTTTCCCCCAGCACTGCAACAAGCTCAGCACCTGGGTAAGAAAGGCCATTTGCCCTTAGCTATAGAGGCTGAGAATCAGGTTTTTACTCCAGCCGACTAGAAAACCCTCTCAGGTACCCTGTTACCATGGGATCTGGGCAGCACACAGCCTTCACTGCATTAATGGCAGGGTGGTACTGTTATCCCCATTTTACAGAGGGGACAACTAAGGCACAGAAGGGACTAAGTGATTTGCCCAAGGTCTCACACAGGGATACCATGGTAGAATTGACTCCAGGTCTCCCAAGTCCCAGCATAGGACCCCTCCCAACATTGGGCCTCTCTCCAGGGCCTTTACCTGTGATGTTGTTGGTTACTCTGCAGTCTCCTGTCTCACAGCATTTGCTGAAGCTACAGTACCAGCTGGATAACATCTCCAGGGGCAAACTCCACCCTAGGAAAGGAGTACCAGTAAGAAAGGAAAGGGACCAGCAGAGTGTTTGCATCTTGGGAGATAAGCTCTTCACTCTCATTCTTGTGTTACCCAGGCACATGCTAGATGTCAGACACCAGCACTTGTAGCCACAAAACAACCACCAGTGACATGGTATCCACCATGACACATAGCAGGTACTGGATGGAGGCCAGCTGCCCCATTATGCGTGTAAACATGACCACCCCCCGAGAAGAATGCTAGAAGGGGAGGCAAAAAGCCAAATACAGACTGCCATGTTGCCACATTAGGCTAGGCTTTCTCTAACCCTGCTGGAGAGAGACCGCTGCCTTGCCCCACATGATGCGTCTTGGATACAACTACATGAGCCCCAGTAAATGAATCTCATCATGGTCAGGGCCTCAGCACTGCCTGACAACTGCTAGTGCTTTACCCTCTGGGTGTATGAAAGCAGTGTGTTAATGCTGCCAACGACAGCACACGCCAATGAAACCTCATGTTACCAGCAGTAATGAACCTAGAGACATACAAAGGCACCACCTGAGGTACAGCAGCACTTCACCTGCCCACACAACAGACACTGGCTTTGGTAGCAAGAAATCAGTGCACACCTGATTCGTAGTTGAAGCGTACTGACAAGTTAGTTTAGCTGCTGTCAGACAATATAATGGGCCTGTGATGACTGACAATGGCTGAGCAATCCCAGCGTGGGCATTAGTCCGTTTCACCCAGTGGTAGTGATGCTTCCCATCTGAGCCCATGGTGCAAGGGGTAGTGTGCATCAGCACAGCCCCCCCAAGCTGACAGCACCAAACCCAAGAGATGCTTTACACAGAAGAGCATTGGCTGCAGGCAGGGGCATAGAGGGGGATGTCTACATCCATCATTACTAAAGCTAGGGCAGGGAGGCAGATATGCGACAGCTCCTTACCCTCTTGATCCATGTCAGCCTGCTCGTCTTCCTCTCCTTCGCAGCTTGCCTGCCACAGTCCACAAGCCAGGTACTGCCAGTACTGCCTGGACAGGGCGTGCATGGTGCCAAGGTGCCTCTTCATGGTCTCGTCGTGGCCAAGCTGCATCCCCTTCCCTATGGTGTGTGTCTGGTCTTCCTTGGGTCCCCAGTGCCTGCCTCTCCCTACAAGCCCATCAGACCTCCACAGCAACAGGAAGAGGGCACAAGTCAGCAGAGGGAGATGGGTGGGACCCCAACCCACCATGGTCACGGAGGCAGGACTCAGTCTAAGCAGCACCCTCCCCCTCCCTCCCTCCCTCCCACCCACCCCAGCTGACAGCTGCTCTTGATCTCACACAGCCCAGCCTAACTTTGCCCCCGGATTTTTCCGTTTGCCTTTCAATTGCTAAGCTGCCAGACCAGTGATCTCACTTCCCCTCTGTCTGCTATTGGAGTTGCCTTGGGGACCAGCTGCTCTGTTCCAGTGACACAACAGTTGGGCAGCAGCAGCAGTGAGGTCTGTCAATGTATAATGGGAGGGTGCGGTTCAGTTGCTCCTCCCACGTCTGGAAGGGAAGCTGGGGAAGGAACTGCTAAGAGCAGCTGCCTGCTTAAACCTGCAGAGACATGACATCCCCGGTGTTTAACCTGGGCTGGCAAGGCCCTGGGCATATCTGGGGTAGGAAGGGGGGCAGGGAAGGGGTGCACCAGCTCTGCAACAGCTCAGGCAAGTCTACTGAATATGAGGTTCTTTCACTATAGCTCTCACAGTGGCACGCAGGCCGCCTCCTGCTCTCATGCCTATGATGCCACCACTTTGCCTGACAGCAACTGATCCCCCCCACAAGCCCTCCCATTCACTCGCACCCTCTGCCTGCAGTGATCTGGATGTGCCGGGGGGAGGGGGGGATTCTGCTCCTTAAGTCAGCTGGGTCCCCTGACTCCCTTTCCCGGGGCATAGTAGAGACAGCTTTTCTCTCTGTTTCGAGTCCTAAGCTGCCTAAACCAGCAGGGGCCCCTCCTGGGCCAGCATTTTCCACTGACTTACATTCTCCTATGCCATTGTATCTCTATCAGTCATTTTCAACCTGGGTGCCAGGACACCCTGGATGCCTTGAAATCCTTGCAAGGGTACAAAAGGGGTGGGGAGCATGCCATGCAATGTTAGCACTGTCAGGTGAGCAAATGTGACTCAAGATGAACCCAGGGATTTAAAAGAGAAATCCAGTGTCATAAACATTCAGCCCTGCTGCAAGCTTTCTGAGTTCTTTGATCAGAAGAATTGGTCTATTATTTTTCCATAGTCAAAAGTGAGTGAAAGCAAAGACCTGACATTTTCCAAGGCAGGGGCCTTGAGCCAAAAAGGGTAGGAAAACATTGATCAGTATAGACCTGCATACCCTCAGGGACTGCCCTCCATCCTGGAAGCAGAAGCTGTAGCTGCTTCCCATGCAGGAGAAACTGCGGCCAGCGCTGCTCCCTAGCGACCGCAGAAAGGATACCGTTTTATTCTTTTTTTTCCTTAAGCAGAGACAGGTAAAAATTTCATTGCCCAAAAGTTTGTGTGACAGACAAGGCTTTTCCAGGAATAGATTTTATTTTTGCAAAATCAGGAACTGAGATAAAGGAAGGAAGTTTTATGACCAAGGAAGATTTTATTGCCTTTAACACACGATTCTACTGACACTGGAATGCAGCTCTCCTTAAGCAGCAAAACAGAAATTAGAACCCGAGTGTGAAGCTACCAGAGAGGAGTGATGAATAACATCTGCAGAAGAGGCCGGAAGAGAATTCAAGACCTTGACAAGACGGCATTTTTGTCCCTGCAACTTACCATCTTTGAGTCTTATACTAAGTAGGCGCGTCCACACGTGCACATTTACCATGCAGCAACCTAAGTTACTGCACAGTATGGGTGTGCCTCTACACGTGCATGCCCATACTGTGCAGTAACTATGGCAACTTATGCTGACTTGGGTGTAAATTTGCTACCTGCATCATTCAGGTAGCAAATTTACGTCTGATTAGTTACTGTACAGTAATGCATGTGTAGACGTGTTACTACACAGTAACAGTGTGTGTGTGTGAACTGACTCGGGACCAACTTTACTCCCAAGTCAGTCCAAACACAGCATTACTGCACTTTAATGCTTGCACGTGTAGACGCTGGGCCTAAATCTGCTTACTGCACAGTAATTTACTGTATAGTAAATTTAATGTGCAGTAAATGCACATGTAGATGTGCCCAGTGAAACTGTAAGAGTGCTTGTACTAAAGCTTTGGGTTTTTTCTACATAGTTCCAAGTGTCTATATGTTTGATACAGCCTCACCCTAGTACTGGGATGTAATAAACCAGTATGTGACTAATCACTTTCCAGAACCCTTAAGTGAAAGGCGATGGGGAACCTAATTGATCTCTGTTTTTAAGTACCAAGTATCAGAAGCCTATAAGGCTCTGGTTTCAGTTGCCTGTGTCTCAGACCTAAAGGGGCCTAAAGGAATAAAAGCTCAAACTGATGCCAAAGTGCTATATTCAAAACCCGCTGCCCTAACTTCTTGTGTAGTGTGGTACTCTGGCATAATATAATTTACAAAATCAACATCATCAGTAAAATGCTTCAAAAAGAATCACAGAAAAGTAGGGCTGGAAGAGACTCAGGTCATCTAGTCCACCTCCCCACTAAAGGCAGGATTATCCCTATCTAAACCATCCTAGACAAGGGTGTGTCTAGTCTAGTCCCAAAAACTCCAGGGGTGAGCTGGAGTAGAAATGGATACTGAACAAACCATACAAGCCAGCTTAAAGCCTCAAAGGATTTCCTTGTAAATTACTAGGGATTTGCAAGTGCCATGACCTCTGCTAAGCTACTGGCTGAAAAGCTGGAAATTGAAGCTAGTTAACCACAAGAAAGGCAGTGCAAAGTACAAGCCAGAAAGAGAATGTTTGATTATGAGGCAACAGATGCACTAATCCAGAACGGAACTACAAAGTCAATGGTTTCTATTATGTCTTGGATACTGCCAGTCACCTGAGGGAAGATTGTCATGACCTGAGAATACAATAAGCAGCAATTCTCCTCCCGCCCCTAAAGGTCTCTCTATAAAGGAAATCCTGTAACCACAAACTAAATAAGGTTTTAATCCTGGGAAAGGTGGGATGGTCAGTAAGAAACATGTCACAGAGACCCAGGGCCAGCCCAAAGAGGGTACAGGGCCTGGGGCAAATCAGTATTGTGGGGCCCCCTTAACACCGTGTGGGGCCTGTGGGACCCCTGCAAAAGCAAGGCATGGGCTGGGGTCTCTCCTGCACCTGGCAGGAGGGGAAGCCTCTGTGCTTCTTCTGTGGCATGGGGCAGAGCCACAAGCACCAGGCAGGCCTCACGGGAGGGGCCTCAGCTGCTCCACCCAGCTCCGCAGGGCTCCCCAAAGCGCAGGGCCTGGAGCAGTTGCTTCAATTTGCCATACCCTAGGGACGGCCCTGCAGAGACCAATTCCCTGAAAACCAGACTTAAAATCCCCAGACTACTGAGCAGACACACTGCGCTCTTTTATTACCTACTAGGGTTAGCACAGGCTCACTTGTTTAATATCTTCCCCGCCCATCACATACCCCTGCCCTAGGAGTGCTCACAGTCTGGGATTCATGTCAAAAACACTTGACTAATGATAAAATGCAACCACCACTTTTCACATAAGTTTGGCGATTCATTCATTTCAGCTGGTTGGAAAGCAGAGCAATGTTAGTGTGAGAAAGCCAGTAAGTAATAAGGCCATCTAGAGGCTGCTATAAATACTACAGGCTTAATCAAAACCTACAGGGCTTTCCAGATGGACTAAAAAGAAAAGCCGCTGGTGAAGACTTCAAGTCACTGAGCTACGTACAGGATTTACTAGCTGAACTTTGGTTTGCCTTGACAAGGATCACGGTCTCTTCTGACTTTAGCATTTCTAAAACTCAGTAGCTTGTCGGTGCTACTCCCAACCCTCAATCCTAAACAGTGAGTTGTAACAGAATTAAGCTGAGCTGCCTGTAACTCAGCACTCATCATCATCACAAAAATGTAAATTTAAATTGAAGTTTTAAAGCTGGTTTCATTAAAATTGTGCAAAACTACTTGCAAAATGAGCAGACACAAATAAGGCAATACAAATTTGTTCTTACTAACTGTTTTATATCAAGCTAAATGAATATAAACCAATCAGACTGTCCTCACCAATATATGCTGCCTCAGTCCTCATGCCTTCTCCGAGATGAAGGCTTCGGGTTTCAACAGAAGTTGCAGCTGCAAAAAAAAGCTACCCAGTTAACACACACCTCTCAGTTACTCTGGGCAAAATGATTAGCCTAAGGAGGTAAAAGAGCTACTGAGGTTGGCTGTCTTCCACATAACAGCATTGGGGTGCAATTTGTAATGTAAAATATTTGTGCTCTGGAGACCACCTGGATATGGACAGACTCCTCTGAGGAGCCCACTTGAGAAACATTTCCTTTGCTGAACTACAACAGCTTTTTGCAACTGCATTCCATGCAGTCTCAATCCTGAAAGCACATTTTTGGCAAATATATGATTAACACCATTACTGAAGGAACAACTGCCAAACACAGCAGCAAACTCTCTTGAAAGTTTCGGTCACCACGTGCGTTGGAAACCACAGCAACAGAGACTTAAACAATCCAGGAGCGTTGCTTTATTAAAATCTTTATTCACACAATGCAGAGTCTGACCCTGGGCACACAAGTAGAAAGTCACAATTTGTTTTGTTTTCTTCTTAACAACCTCAGTTTGTGCAGCTGCTCCCAAGGGCAGTCCTCTGGCAGTTCCGAAAGAGGTGCTTGTTTCAAGCGTTTCGCTCCAGCTGCCGCAGCAAATAATTTACCTTCTTAATAAATTATTAGTTTTCAGTTGAATTTTGCTTGGCAAGATGCATACTCCAGTTCATTAGATGCCCACAGAAGAGCAGGTTTCAGTGTTCCCTCCATGCTGACTGCTGACTCAGGAGGCAGGAGATAAACAGCAGCAGGCTGATGGCGCTCTTTTAAATTGGTTCTTGATTTCTGTGCCTCGGCCCTCAGACCATTAATAACATCCCCAAAACAACCACCTTTTAACAGTGTGGGCCAGTCATTTATTGTATGCACCTATAAGACTGAAACCAAATGCAATGAAAGGATTTAATAAAAATCTCAATGACAGAGCCTAGCATCTGCCCACAAATGAGGGGCAAGACTGACCCTGTTGGCATAGTGATGACATCATTTCTGCTCTAGGATGGCTTACTAGTTGGAACCAACATTTGATAAGCTCTTTTGCTGGAGGAAAAAAGAACTCTCATTACCAAAATGACTGAATCCAACACTGGCCTCAAAACTGATCCATAAAGCAACAAATCTGGTTTCAAGTAGGGAAGAACAAAGTTTCTTTCTGCTGCCTGAGGTCCCACTGCAAGCAGTCTCTTTTACAGTGCTTTGCCTCTGATGGTCACCATGCAGAGAAAGGGGTACATCTGAACTTACTACAAGAAGATGGAAGCTAGTGAACAAGGCAACAACAAGCTCCTCACACTAATTTCACTTCATTGCAAGATCATATTTTTGAATGAAAACCCAAATGCTAGTAAGAAACTGCAAATCAAAATCCTAATCCCATCCAACATAGACTCCTCCTGACATGTCAGAGTTCAGAGTTTATGCTCCAAAACAGAACAGGGAAAAAACAGGCTTCAGGTGCCAATATTTTCCCTTCCTTCTCCCCTCCTTGCTCAAGTTACTCTGTTTTGTTGGGAGCATGTTATGTCAATACACCACACAATAACTTTGATTTTCTTTAGAATGACTTGTTTGTCACTTCGGGGCTTATTCTGCCACTGTTCCTGATGCCAAGCAGTACTAGAGTCCATATAGCAGACCAACTGAAATCAGACTGTACACAGCATACAATATTAACTCAGTAGTGATGGAAGTAGTTTCTTCCTCAAGCACTGGCCACCCACACGTACAATAACTTAATCCAGTCAAACAGTTGTGCTCTAATGGAAGCCAGAGGACCAATCTGCTCGTTGTCAGGAGAGAACTCACTGAGCAAACAAAGTTAGCCTTTAATGAGTGGATTCACTGCTTGTGAAACTGGAATAGACAGGCACTAGTTTAAAGACCAGCAAATGGCTGAAAACAACTATACAAAACCACAACTGTCAGTGCACCTCAGCCCTCACCAGTCACATACACTACTATTCCAGTCCCATGCCTAATTTTGGGCAAAAGACCTGTGATATGGATTGTTGTCCGAAGGGGAACTGAAACAAGACTGCACTCACATTCAGGTGGAAAGTCAGCGTTGACATTATTACAGCAATTCC